AGGTTAGAATGCCACAAGAATAATCTTGATAAGTTTTGTAAAGTTCTGAAACGATCCAAAGAGAAAAGTCTCTCAAAATCTCAGATTCAATAGCCTCCCAATTAGGGTTACAAGCCCCTTGGGAAAAGTAATTCTAATCAAAATAGGAAACTAACACCCTAAACCCTAATCATAATAACCACGAATTGGGCCTTAAATAAATGAATGTTCAGCCCAAAATAATATAAAAAACGTGAAAATCACTAAAAATAGCCTAAAGTAACATGAAATATCAGTTTGTTACAAATTGCGACAGAATTGCAAGATTGACGCAAACTGTTTAATTTAGCATAAATGACCTCAATTAAGCTTCTCTTGAACCTGAATGATGTTTATCATGGATTGATAATCATCCAAGCTTCGATTTGCTTGTTGTATGTTGTTTTCAACCCAGATCTGCTCAATCAGGCCATTTAAAGCTTCACGCATCTTCTTAGCTCTAACTCGCATGACTGGACCTCCTTGAGTGTGTAATGGATCATATGACGTGGTAGATATGCTGTCGGCTTGATTCCCATCATTCTCCCTTCTCAGTTTTTTGTTGTTATTCCTTATCTTCTTCAACTCAATTGAAATTTTGTTAGTCTTATTGCCATGTTTTAGTTTAAAAGGTTATCGTTTCTTAAAATTAGATGACTTGCTTTTAACCACATTAAAAAAGCCTCAAGGGTAATCCAGTTCTGAAAACATTCTCCTAAAGAGAATGAAGATAAATGAAATATAGAAAGTAAGTTGTGTATAATCTATTTTTATTATAAATAATGAAAATAAGAATAATCATACACCATAAAAAGGTAGTTATGTAACACACCCCCCTTAAAAATCATACTTGGACTTGTGATTTGTTTGGTAGGGCTTAAACAATGCAAAGGAGGGTTTTAATAACATGTGATTATTCACAAGTTAAAAATTCAAACCCAATATAAAACAAAACTTATGAAAAAGAATCATTTAGGCAATTAGCCTTTAATCTTTACAAACATGAAAACTGAATATAAGTTTTGGTAATAGAATGATTTATTGATACAACTTGACATTAATAACTTCTAATGTTGAGAAAAATTTCTAACACACTTCCATTGTGCTACTCAAACTTGAAGGGAAAGGAAGGAAATAGGGTCAGCTAGCTAGCCTAGTAAGCATAAGTGGAACACAAAAGGGAATAGTTTAAACATAATAGTGTACACAACATCAACTAATCAAATAATAATAATAACAACTTCTAACAATATCACAAAAGGCTTATAAGCTCTATGAGCTACAAAACACATTATTCTCATCAAATCATACTAACAGCTTAAACGTCATAAAACATATAACATGCAATGGACCAAACCATAGAACTTGAACTCGTTAATATTGCTAGCAACATTCAAGATGAGCTGAAGCCTATCTAGCACCTTATTGATGACATTTAAGTGACATGACACTATCACTTGATGACATACTCTTAACAATGACTAGTCATTAGATGACATGCATTTAGTATGATTTTATCACTTGTGGCATGCACTTAGCATGACCTTCAATCACATACAATCACGCTTATTCGATGACATGTATTTAGTATGGCTGCATTTCTTGAACCTTAACCATATCAAATTGTATACATATTCATTTTAATTACAATTCAAAACAAATACTTAAAATCTTATTCAAAATTGATTCTTGGATATCCACAAGTAGTTGTGTATTTTAATTAAGGATTCCACTTGTTTACTAATAATTCATTTGACACATCACACTAAATCAAAACATAGCATATACTTTTATGTCATAATGGGAATGCATTGCTTAAAATATATACACAACTCATATTTACCTATACTTAGTTATGAGGTTTCCATAACCTCTTTAGAATATATTCATCAAACATTCTTCTTCATCTACATATTATAACATTGTTCTGCTTCGGTCTCAAAATCAATAAAAAAATAATTAGTGAACTTGTTAGAAAATATCAATAAGAAAATATCATCAAAATAGAAGTAAAAAGTTTACTTACCTTAAAGTAATTCATGCCTGTGGAGAGTAATTTACTAGTATAGTAGAAGTATAATAGTATATCACCCCCTTAAAATGGTACAACTGATGAGAACCCCAAAGAGAACAATGAGACCCAAAGAGAACAATGAGACCCACAGCACGACAAGGGATTTCTAAACTCCAGGAAAGCTAAATCAGGTTTATAATAGGACCTAGACTCGTTGTTTATGTCGCAACAAGAACCAAAGGTAAAAACCTTGACCCGTTGTCTATGACGCAACAAGAACCAAAGGTATAAAGTTGGTTGACGCCACACCCTTGAACGATTAAGAACGAGAATGATAAGTCAGGTTAGAACACCACAAAAATAATCTTGATAAGTTCTGTAAAGTTCTGAAATGAACCAAAGAGAAAAGTCTCTCAAAAACTCAAATTCAATCGCCTCCTTAATTAGGGTTACAAGCCCCTTTAAATAGGGAAAAGTAATTCTAATCAGAATAGGAAACTAACACTGATGAGAACCCCAAAAAGAACAATGAGACCCACAGCACGACAAGGGATTTCTAAAACTCCAGGAAAGCTAAATTAGGTTTATAATAGGACCTTGACCCGTTGTTTATGTTGCAACAAGAACCAAAAGTAAAAACCTTGACCCGTTGTCTATGACGCAACAAGAACCAGAGGTATAAGGTTGGTTGACGCCACACCCTCGAACGATTAAGAACGAGAATGATAAGTCAGTTTAGAACGCCACAAGAATAATCTTGATAAGTTCTGTAAAGTTCTGAAACGAACCAAAGAGAAAGTCTCTCAAAATCTCAGATTCAATCGCCTTCCTCCCCATTAGGGTTACAAGCCTTTTAAATAGAGAAAACAAATCCTAATCAGAATAGGAAATTAACACCCTAAGTCCTAAACCTAATAACCACGAATTGGGCTTCAAATAAGCGAATGTTCAGCCCAAAAATAATACAAAAAACGTGAAAATCACTAAAAATAACCTAAAATAACACAAAATATTAGTTTGCTACAAATTACGGCAGAATTGTGCGATTTTGACGCAAACTGTGTAATTTAGCATATATGACCTCAACTAAGCTTCTCTTGAACCTGAATGATGTTTACCATGCCTTGATAATCATCCAAGCTTCGATTTGCTTGTTGTATGTTGTTTTCAACCCAGATCTGCTCAATAAGGTCATTTAAAACTTCACGTATCTTCTTAGCTCTAACTCGCATGGCTGGACCTCCTTGGGTGTGTAATGGATCACATGACGTAGTAGATATGCTGTCATCTTGATTCTCATCAAACACCCTAAACCCTAATCATAATAACCACGAATTGGGCCTTAAATAAATGAATGTTCAGCCCAAAAAAACATGAAAATCACTAAAAGTAGTCCAAAGTAACATGAAATATCAATTTGTTACAAATTGCGACAGAATTGCGAGATTGACACAAATTGTGTAATTTAGCATAAATGATCTCAATTAACCTTCTCTTGAACCTGAATGATGTTTATCATGCCTTGATAATCATCCAAGCTTTGATTTGCTTGTTATATGTTGTTTTCAACCCAGATCTGCTCAATAAGGCCATTTAAAGCTTCACGCATCTTCTTGGCTCTAGCTTGCGTGACTGGACTTCCTTGGGTGTGTAATGGATCACATGATGTGGTAGATATGCTGTCGTCTTGATTCCCATCAACTTTCTAATAACACTTTGTAAATCTCCATTACTCATAAAGTCACCTAACTCAACACCCTTTTTTGCCCAAGAATATTTATAAAATAAGAAGACGTGGAGGAACTCACTCCAAGTGAAGCAAAATGACATGTTCTATTTATAAGAGGTCATGTAATTCTTATTTGTAGATTAATTGAACAATTATTATAAAATAATGTACTATTAAGTATGGGAACCTACAATGGTTAATTTGACCAAATCCTTAATATAACAATAAATTTAATTTATAAAGCATATTATTTTTATTTTGAATATACATTGGTCAAGAGAACAATTTTTTTCAATGCATTTTGAAAATAATAAATTTTACTTGAAAACTATACACTAGCATACACCTACACTTAGCTTTAAAAATACAACTCTTAGAACAAATTAAAAACCAAACCTTCAATAAGTCATAGGTTACTCAAAAGCCTTAAAAAACATGTCTATAAAGCTCATTTTAGAATAATAAACCTTTCTTAGAAACCATATTTATTTCACTTAAAAGATATTTATAAATATCACTAACTTCATTTAGGAAATATATATCACCATTCACGGAAATAATGCCAAATGACAATTTGGTAAACTATTAATTCCTAAACAAGTTGATTAAATAAGGTTAAAGTACCATTTTGATCCCTTAACTTTTCATTTTAGCACCAAAATTATACCTCAACTTTAAAAAATACCAAAATTATCCTTAAACTTTCATTTTTGATACCAAAACAGTCATTCCGTCAGTTAAATGACAAGTGTCACGTTAACTTGCTAGCAAATCAATTCATTTTTTGCTTAACTAATGACATGGAAAAAAAAAATCATAATTAACCTATGAGTTGGCATTAGTTGGCATTTTTATTTAATTTTAAAATAATAATTTTTTTTCATCACGTCATTTCTTCTTCCTCTTTCACTTTCTCTCTCCTTTTCCTTTACCTCTACAAACCAGATCTGGGTTCTC